ATCCACAACATGGATGAGCCTTGAGGACAGAATGCTAAAGAGAAAGAAGCCAGGGCTGGCGGAGTGGCTCAAATGGTAGAGTGCCTGCCTAGCAAGTGCGAGTCCCTGAGTTCAAACCCCACTGCCGCCAAAAAAACATTTAAAAAGGAGAAAGAAGCCAGACCCAAAACACCACATATTATGTGACTTCATTTATAAGAAATGTCCAGAATAGGCAAATTTGTAGAAATGGAAAGTAGATTAGTGGTTACCAAGAAATGAGGGGAGGAAGACATGGGGCATCACTGTTAAGGAGTACAGGGTCCCTTTTTGGGGTGGTAGAAGTGTTCTGGAATTAGATAGGGGTGATGGTTTCATAACATGTTTTACATTGAAAGTGGAATTTTATGACATGCCATTGCAAAACATTCAGGGAAAACTGGGAGATACAATAAAAATAGTAAAATCATTTAAAGTATAGCTAAAACAATTTACAGGAACCCAGCTTGGTTCTTCCCTTGTTCCTCCATATAGGCAAAAATCAGTGACTGTACCACAGTGCCCCTTGGGGTTGTTTGAACCACAATAAGAGGTAGCGAGGACACCTTGGCAGCTGAGCCCCTGGGTAGGGGACTGAGTACATTGTCACCATGTCTCCATGAAGAAGGGAAATAAGAACTGGGAACAGCTTCTTAAAATCCTCTAAGTGATGGGACATCCATTACATAAGTGTGTTTGTTAAATATACATTTCCCCAAACTATAAAAAACACATTAAACTTAGAAGGAATGAAAGAAAGAACAAAGCATGAACACTACCTACTATCCCACCACTTGGAGATTTTACCATTGACATTTGTGCATCCCTTTCTTGTGGAAGTGACATTTTGGGACACTTCTCCTAAGCTTTCAAATAAGTGAACCAGCACCAACAGGACCAGTGTCAGCCTGGCCTGGATGCCAGCAACACAAGGAAGGTAAAATGTATGTGCCCCGCAGCAGGCAGCAGATTTGAGACTTGTCACCTGGATTTTATATTGCTCTGAACTTTTCCTCATATTTAGACCCAGCTATTATTTATTATTATTATTATTATTATTATTATTATTAGCAGTACTGGGGGTTGAACTCAGCAGTGCTGGGGATTACCACTTGCTAAGCAGGCTCTCTACCACTTGAGCTGCTCTATCAGCCCTTTTTGCATTGGTTATTTTTGAGATACGGCCTTGCTTTATGCTCAGGCTAGCTTGGACTGTGATCCTCCTATTTGTGCTTCACTGAATAGCTGAGATAACAGGCGTGCACCACCACGCCCAGCCACTGGTTAAGATGTGGGGGTCTCACAGAAGTTTTGACAAGGCTGACCTCGAACCATGATCCTTCTGATCTCTGCTCCCACACAAGCTAATGCCACACATTGTAGGCATGAGCCACCACACCCAGCTCTAAATATCATATCCTTAAAGTGTGCAAGGACTTAAACAGTTGTTATCAGGGTAATGATGGCAAAGCTAGTTCCTCGTGGGAGCCCTTGGACAGCAGCACTCTGAAAGCAGCATGGGTGTGGAGAATGTTCTGTTAGTGGTGCCACTTTGGGGCCTTCTCTTTATCTCCCAGTGTTCTCTGCAATGGTTCGCCTACATCCCTGATTGGCTCCTGTCGGGAGGTCTTTCCACACCCTTAGAGCTGAGCCTTCCTGAAAGGACCTGGCTCTGAAGGAAGAGCCATTCATGTTGTTCCTCTGACTGCTACCTCATAGCCACCAGTTTCTGCAGCACACAGTCAGGTGTTTCTTCCTCCAGAGACAGTGTCCACAATTTGGGTGGGTGGAGGTGGTGGAAAGGAGCCTGGCTGGGTCCCATCTCATGCAGGAAAAAGGATCCCCAGCCCTGGCTGTCAATGATTAGGGAGGGGAAGCACTCCTGCCATGGCATGGCTTCCTGACCCAGGGCTGGACACGAGGACTCAGTGTGACACAGTCCTGCCCTGAAACAGAGCCCTCTTTAATCTTACTCCACTCTGTTTACTCAACCTTGTCTTCCATGACCGTGGACCATTCACATCTACGCTCCAGTCTAGAAAATCCTCATCAGTTTCACGTGTGCATCTCCATCTGTCCACGTCCCTCTGGCTCCATTCTTTTTGTTAAAGACATTATTGCTACTAACACAGCCTCCTGGTAGGTTTTGCACACTTATTGTGGTTGCCCCATCAGCCACTGCTTATACTTCAGCAGCTCCAGTTGTTTTTTTTAAGTGTTATTTACAGACTCACTACTCAGACTAGACATGTTTGGTCCAGCTACCTCAGCATCACCTGAATCCTTATTAGAAATGCAGAATCTTGGGCCCCATCCAAGACCCACTTAAGTAGAAACAGCATTTAAAATCAAATTTTAAAAAAGGCCTTTCAGAGTGGTTTTAGGATCCCAGAAGAAATGAGTGGACAAATGTAGAGGATTCCCTTAGGACCTCCCCCCTCCTCCCATGTTCATAGCCTCCCCTACTATCAACACCCTGCACAATGCTTCAGCCTGATAAGGCTATGTTGATGCATCATTATCACCCAAAGCCCATCGTTTACTTCGAGTATACTCTTGGTGGTGTATGTTCTATAGGTTTTAAAAATTTATGACATATCCATCACTATAATATTATGCAAAATAGTTTCAGTTCTCTAAAAAAATCCCCTGTGCTAGAAACTGCAGTTGAACAATCTCCCAGGAGACTAGTATGCATAGTTAAAGTATATCCAGTACTGAGGCAGACCATACCACCGCTGCCTAAAACCTTTCATGGCCTCCCAGGGCTTTGGGAATCCCATTCACATTCCTGACCATGGCAGACAAGCCCTGGGGATTCTGGGCCAGGTTCCCTCCCAGTCCAAACCTGCTCCTCCACTGTCCTTGGTCTCTGTCTCTTCTTCATAGGGAGGACAATACTTCCTCTGACAGTGCCTCTATCCTGCCTTGAAAGGTCTGTAGGGTTTTTTGTTGTTGTTGTTGGGATTGAGGTTTGAACGCAGAGCTTCACGCTTGCGAGGCAGGCACTCTGCCACTTGAGGCACACCTCCAGTCCTTGGATTACTTTTTTTTTTCCTCCCAATGACCAGAAACCTCATCCATTTTGCTCACAATTTGTCCCAAGGACCAAGAAAAGTGTGCTGTATATAGGAGCTGCATATTACTTGTTGAATTAAATGATGAAAAATGTTGAATGCTTGCATAAGTGTTCTTCACCTCGGGGATTCCCATTCACCTGCATCAAGCCTGTTCCTCCAGCTGCTCCAGCCCACCCTGTCCCTTCTTTCCCAAATCCTAGACTTTTACAGTCAGGACCCAGCACTTTACTACTCTTGGATTGTTCTATGTGAGTTGCTTTTGCCTTCTGCAATTAATATAGGCTGACCTGTTGGAGGGCAGAAATACCAGGCTCAACTTCTATGGTTTACCTGGTACAAGGGTGAGGGGATAATGATATGTTCAAATCTTAGAGGCTCGAATCGGTTTATTGACTCAGCAATAGTAAAATCTGAAGTTGTAGAACAAGGTGTTTTCCTAAACACTTTCTTTAGCTCAAAGCCCATCTCCTTCAGTTTCCCTCTGGTTCTAATTTTCCTGGTACAATTATCAAGTCTCAGTTTTCTTTTTTTTTAGTATCCTGCACCCTTTCTACCATTTCTGATTTTTTAAGCTCATTATTCAGTTTCTCCAGAAGAGTCTACTTTGGGCATGCTTTCCCATCTTTCCAGAAAAACACTAACTTGCAATTGTTGGAAATGTAATATGACCATCAAATATGCATGAAATCTGATGTGTTGACTGGGAAACTTAGACCACGGTTCTCTTGGTTCTGCAACAGTGTGAAATAGCAAGTTGTATCACTCAGGATAGAAAACTTAAAACTAGCACCATTGTAGCAGGTCATCTATGTGCCCCCAGCTACTCTTCTTTCTCCCTCCCTGTCACAGACATTCTGGGCAGTACTTTAGGTGAGCAGCTTTAAGTCAGTATTCTCAACAGTCAGATCTTTGCAGACGGACAAATTATGCTGGCACCCAAGCTTCCTCTTCATTTGTGAGAAGCCAGGAGGTATGCTGCTCCACAGAAAGCACATATTTTGTTTTCTGGCTTTAAAAAAAGTCAAAATCCAAGGGCTGGACATGGTGATGCCACTTGTAATTCCAGCTCTATGAGACAGAGGTGGGAGGATCAAGGTTGGAGGCTGGCCCCAGGCAAAAGCATGAGAACCTATGTGAAAAATAACTAAAGCAAAATGGGCTAGGGGCATAGCTCAAGTGGTAGAGCACTGCCTAGCTGCACAAGGCCCTGGCTTTGATCCCAAGTACTGCAAAAAATAAAATAATAAAAAAAAGCAAAAAAGTGAGAACCCTCCTACCGCCAGGATGAACCCCACTCTGCTTTACAGTATCCCAAGTCCAGTGCCCTTAAGACCACCTAGGCTGGAACAAAAACCCCTGAAGTCAAAATACTCTTTAGAGGACACATATGAAATACTTACATAGTCATTAGAAGTAACTGAAAACATAATCGGGCACTAAATCTGATACCATTTAACCTGAGATGCCAGTGTTGACAAAAGGTGTCAGCACCCAAAGCAGAACACAATAGGTAAACTGTATCACAGAGATGGAGTTTGGAAACCAGACCTCAAGGCCAACACCCTCAGCACATCACACGTAGATGAGCATCTAGCGTTCCCAGAAGAGGCCCCAGCTCTAAGCTGTCCTTCAGAATAAGCTTTCTGGTTTTGTTAAAACAGTGCTGATGCCACCCCTTCCTTTAAAGTCTGGATTCTTGGATTCGCCTGGCCACTAACTAGTTGTGTGACCATAAGTAGGTCCTTTAACCTCTTTGGACACAGCTTTCTTAGCAATGAACATCCTGAAGGTCCCTTCAAGTTCACAAGGTTACAGGAGGAGGCAGCACAGAGAACAGCGCCATTTTTCTAAACCCCAGAGGTTGTAGGTCAGAACTCAGTTAAGTTCCTGAAAGTTGCTTACCTGAAGAGATGTAAAACAGCCCAACCAGCACCAAGAACTGAAAGAGCCAGAGGTGGGGACACCTGGGTGGTGGTATTTCCCGTCTCAGTGTGTGAACCATGGCTTCAGCTGCTTAGATGAAGGAGGACACAGGCACCTCCTAAGCACAGAAAAGGGGATGGAACAAAATAACAGAAAAGTCCGGTGATACACACCAGGAGGGGGCAGAAGACAAATCAATTATTCCACGTACAGGGTCCTCTGGCAATTGTTCCAAAACACACTGGTGAGAGATTGGATAGTGTTCCTGGGTCTCCAAAAGTTGATTTATTGTCACAACCTGAAAAAGAAAACAGTAAAAGTCACCCAGGAAGGACAGTCTGCTTATATGCATTGAAAAACTCTCTAATTACTAATCTGAAAATGAGTGAGAGTTCTTGAGTAATCTTTAAACCAGGTAGGTTATGGCCATGAGGAAAAAGCAAAGGTGAGCAGAACTCTGAGAAGAGGTGACCTTGCCTGGTCCTATTTCAAGAACCAGTCACAGCTCTTCAGTGAAATGGCTCTCAGCTTAACTGGTATGGCTTTGTCAGAAGCACAGAGAATTCACAGCCTCTCCCCTGTATCCTAGCACTTGGGAGGCTGAGGCAGGAGGATCACTTGGGTTCAGGAATCTGAGTTACATAGCAAGATTCTGTCTCAAAAGCAAACAAAACAAAACAAAAAACCCACAGAGAACTCCAAGGACCTTCGATATCAGTTACCCAACCCACGAAAGCCATACCAAGAAACACAGAGCCGTCATTGAGAGTATATTTGTCCAAGGCAGAAAGGAAGTTGTGAAACAACTTCCTCTACGTATTAACATAGGAAAATAAGTGTCTCAGTTCTTAAATAACTCTTACTCAAATAACTAAAGGGGTAGAGGGTCTCAATCAACAGAGAATTCGACCAGGAAAAAGGGAGGAAAGAAAAGGCAAATTGTGAACGTTACTTAGTTGTATTATATAGTTTAATGTGAAGAGGCTGCATTTTTTTCCAGTAAACACATTAAACCTGAGAAATGAATAAGAATGCTGTGCTCCACCATCACCCCCTCAGGCTGCTCCGTGACACAGCCCAGTGCTGACCAGATATGTGTGGGTCTCCTTTTTGGGAGCCACCCCAGGGCCAGTTTCTGATCTATTTTAACCAGGGTTAGCTTGGAGGGTCTTACCCAGATTTTTATTGATTTGAAAAACTCAAATTCAGCCTACAAAGTATTTGCTACCATGTAGGAAATTCAGAAATAATGACCACAATTCTTTTTGCGTGTGTACATGTTACTGGGGTTTAAACTCAAGGCCTATACCCTTGAGCCATTCCACCAGCATTTTTTTGTGAAAGGTTTTTTTCCCAGATGGGGTCTTGCAAACTGTTTTCCCGGGCTGGCTTCAAACCATGATCCTCCTGATTGCTTTCTCCTGAGTAGCTAGGATTGAAGGCGTGAGCCACTGGTGCCCGGCTTAGGCTACAATTATGGTGGTACTCTAACAATGTTGGAAAGCTACAACCTCCTTTGGGAAGAGGAGGCTTCAGAAGGTTCCTCCGAGGGCAAGTCGTGTGGGTCCTGGAGGCAGTCATGATGGCAGTCAGGTTGATGGTAACTAGTTCTATCAAGCTATCCCAGAGTAAAATCATAATAAATGTACTTACTTGCTGAAGAAAATTTCCTCTTTTGCTTTTGTGTTAAAAACCAAAAGATGACTCCTGCTTCTGAGCTGTTCACGTCTTGCTGTCTGAAGAGTAATGACAAGACTCTCAGTATTTCTATGAGTGAAGAATCAGAGAAGTGGTATTTCCCCTCCCAACTTCCCTTACTTGGTAGAGGAGTTGAGTTCACTCAGAAATACTTCCATCAGTGCAGGGCTAGGCAGTGTTATTAAGGGCACTGGCTTGAGGAAGCTCCCTCTGCTTGGCTCTTCTCTGTTACCAACTGAGAGGTTGTAGCCCAGGCAAGTCACCCAGCAGCTTTCCTTCACCACCATGCACCAACTAACAAACTGCCTTGAGATAGGGAGAGTAGGAAAGACACCGAGTAGAAAAAGGGTCAATCACCAGCTTTGTTGGGGGGATGGTGTGTGAGCTTTATGGACTGGCTGTTTCTCACTGGTCTTAAGTTTTGTTTTTACACTCAGTTATGCCTTCCTAGCCATTGTGAGAACCCTGAAGGGGTCCATATGTAGTGGACACTTTTTGAAGAGTGTTCAGCTCACTAGACCACCCTAAACTGCGTTTCCATGGTCCCCCATCCCCACCATCCTCACAGAGTGGGCTCCTGGCAGCCATATTGGAGTGTATTAGACAGATGAGTGTGCCTTGGTTGATCAGGATGGTAGCTCCAAGGAATGGGATAAGAAAGGTTTTAATTCCCCCACTACCACTATCTCCAACCAGCCTGACATCCCTGTGCCCCTCTGTGTAGAATTTGGGAGGACCCATGGGTAAGCAGCTGACCACATGGGACGGGTGAACCTGTTTACATAGGTAGAACAGGACAGCATCTTGCCAGGGCCTGCATTTTTCACAGTCTGCTTATGGCCCCTCCCAGAGCTCCTCTATTGTCTTGGCTGGAGATACCCTTGGAAGTTCTGCACTCAAACATGTAGAATCCAGGAGTGTGGGGAAGTCATTGTCCTCAGGGTTACCCTTGACCAAAGGAGGCTGGAAGTGGATAGATAACTGCTTCTTCCCTTTTGTCTCTCAGGTGGAATGTTCTGAGAGACATTTCACGAGGCTCCCCAGAAGGTCCCAATGGAATGGAGCACACATTGCCTTTAGCAGAGGCCAACTTGGCAAGACATATACTGGTTTCCCCTCCTTCCCTGCCTCACTTCCTCATCCTACTCCACTGGACTCAAGCTTCCAAATAAGCAGTTTCACTCAGACTTTTGTCTCTAGCTTAGCCAAGAATCCAGGCTAAGAGAGGGTAACTGATCTGTTAGAGATACAATAGTTTTCCTTCTAAAGTGAATTTGTGGAAGAAGAAAGTTAAATTTAGAGAGGGAAAGAAAAGAAAATGATAGATATAGTGCATGAGTTTGGTGAGCATGGTAAGTATGATGTAGAAACATCTGTAGAAAACTTTCCTGCTCCCGCCCCCCACCCTGCAAAATCACAATTTAAGCTGCTATCCTTCATATATTTTTTAGTGTTATCAAAGACACTGAGATTTCTAAGTACAAAAGCTGATAAGGAGCTAGGAGTGTGGCTCAAGTGGTAAAGTGTCTGTCTAGGAGTCAAGGCCCTGAGTTCAAACCCCAGTGCTGAGAGAAAGGGTGGGGGAAGGAAGGAGGGAACAGGGGGGAGGGAGAGAAAGAAAGAAAGAAAGAAAGAAAGAAAGAAAGAAAGAAAGAAAGAAAGAAAGAAAGAAAGAAAGAAAGAAAGAAAGAAAGAAAGAAAGAAAGAAAGAAAGAAAGAGAAAGAAGAAAGAAAGAAAGAAAGAAAGAAAGAAAGAAAGAAAAGAAGGAAGGAAGGAAGGAAAGAGGGAAGGAAAGAAGGGAAGGAAAGAGGGAGGGAAGGAGGGAGGGAAGGAGAGAGGAAGGGAGGAAAGAAAGAAAAGAAAGAGAAAGAAAGGAAGGAAGGAAGAAAAGCAAGGCTTATCTTTCACCTAATCTGACTCTTACAATGGAATGTTCTAGAAAGTAAAAAACTTCAAGAGGTCAAGTAAAGGAATAATTTGAAATATTAGTGTTTTAATCAATGTGGTTTCCTTAAATTAAGGTTGGGCCTTGTAGCCTCCTGTTTTGGGCATATTTCTATTTATTAGAAAGAGTGGGGTGGTAGGAGTGACAACAGCTTTTACTTAAAAAGCTGTGTAGTGTGACAGATACCATCCATCCCATAGCACCCAGAAAAACCAAAGAGGATGTGGAAGAGAAAACATGGCAGAGCTCAATGGGTGCCTGCTCTGTTCACCTCCAGCTTGGAATCTAAGCTTTGAAAAGTGTACAGGGAAGGCTTGCTGACAGAAGCCAGCTGCACTTTCACCATCTCTACAGGGAGAAGAGACCCGATCAGTGTCCTCATCTACTCATCCGTGCCTTGGCCTGGGTCACAGATGCATACTTTGAAAAATTTCAAGGAGGAAGGATGTAACAACTTCTGCGTTACCTCTAATAGACCAACAGTACATTTTCAAATAAGGTGTATATGTATCAGACATAAGTCTGTGTTTTATATGTTCTTGAAATTCATCCAGAAGTGTTTTCACTAATTTTGTAACTGGTACTAGAAAAGGGAAAAACTTTTGGTTGTAGTCAGCTTGCATGTTGGCCAGGTCGCTATCGCTATGCTTGTTATTGAAACTGACATTTCTCTCTCTCTATCTCTCTCCCTCTCCATGCTGGAGAGACTAAGGTTAACACTGTGCTCTTCAATTAACCTAGGTTGTCTTCTCCCTTTATCTCTTTCTGACCACAGGGAGTAAACATGTCAACCAAGACATCCAGCTGTGGAGATGCAGTGACTATAAATAGGGAGAATCAAGGCCAGCCCCTATTGTAGGATATAAGTTTTGTCACATACTTGAACTGAGCCCCTGAACTCCTCTCTTAAAAGCAGATGTTTTCTCCCAGAAGGGGGATGACAGAGCTTTGATGAATAATGAACCTTATTTCCTTTTTCTCAAAACTCTGGTCTTGTTATTTGTGATTTGCCATTGAGGCCAGGGGGCCAGCTTTTCAATAACATTTTTGGTTAATTTGTGCCACTTTAGATCCACTCAATACATTAAGAACAATGTAACATTTTTTTAATGACAATATTATAATACACTGGAAACTATATCTTTTGCAGATACTTAGAGTAATACAAAATTATAGATGTCAACTTACAAATGAACAAAGAAATACATAGTTTTGTGAACTTCCTTAGGAGGGGAGTATATGAGCAAAAATTTTGAAGACCACAAGACATGCTGAAGTTTTAAGGGTTCCAGTAAAATTAGTAATGAAAGACAGGACTGTAAAATAAGTACAGTGTGGTGGGTTACTTGTGGGAGGGAGGTGGGTGAATGGAGGAGATGAAGGTGAGGGAACATGGTTGATGGGCTTCATACACGTGCATGACATAGAATGATGAAACCGCTCACAGATGCTTTAAGTGAGGCAGAGAGGGAATGGAGAGGATGGAGGGGGTGGGGGGAAATGCTAGTGGTGATCTAACCAATGTACAGCGTAATGATATTCAAAATTGTTACAACGATTTCCCCCCTGTACAACGAATATATGTTAATAATAATAAAAAAAAAGAGTTCCAGTAATATCCTACCAGTTTTGGAGAAGCACACATTAAACAGCCTTTGCCACCAGCACCTTGGTGTGAATTAATCAGAGAGACTAGAAGGAGAAGGGTCACCAGGCAGGTACTTTAGGGCTGGTTCCCTTTCCTGACTGTAAAATACGGGAAGCTTCTCTTCCAGGATTTTGCACTAATGGGATGTGTTTAATCCTTCTTCCTCCTGAGACCACACTAAATGAATATGTTTTTGAAAAATTAAAGCTGTGTCCATACAAGAGATTAAAATGATCTGTGGACCAAATATTTCTGGAGTAAATTTCTGGAGACTAGAAAGTGGGTGGAGGTGATGGGTGAGGCAGAACAAAGGAAGCCGAGCTCAAATTCCTGTATGATCAGAAGGGAAAAGTAGTTCAAAGAGGCATTTGTTCTGAGAAGCAGGCCTGGGGTGAAAGAGGACCAGAGCCAGGCCTGGTACTTCTCAGTGTAGCTTCTTCACCTCCACTTGATCTTCTAACCCATTTATTGTTTCCCTTTCATAAAAGCAAAATAAATTATGTTTTAAATTTTTATGGGAAATAGTAAAGATATGAATTTGTGTGAGAGGATTTTTATAATCCTAGGGTGAGAGACAAGACACAAAACCTGGAAACCACACATAAATTGGAGTTCCCAATAGTAATGCAAGACACCAAAATGAAACAAAAAGTTAAAGACTGTTTGACAAGCTTGATGGCACAAGCCTGTAATTTCAGCACTCTGAGTCTGAGGTGGGAGGATCAAGAGTTAGCACAGCCAAAACACACAAACAAGTCATAGACTGTGTGCATGGAGAAGACCCTCCAGAAAGTGGTGACTAGAGGGAGATGCAACCCTGGCACCAGAAAGCACTAGGGGTGCAGAGCTCGAAGGGATGTGATAGGGGAGGCATCTCGTCAGCCCTTTGCTTTGTCCCCCATCAATCAGATCTCTCTAGAAAAGAAGTTCTTTTTCCTCTCTTGACCTTAGAACTCTTCCACCTCCTCAAGCTGATAAAGCCAGGCTGAGCTCAAACTTCCTACCCTTCTTTCTGGAGTCCACAGGGCAGGGCGGGGCCTGGGAATTCACTGAATTTCACTATTTGCATATTGAGCACTCTGGAGCTGGAACTGATGAGAGGGTGGGGAGAAACCCCTTTCCCAGTATGAGTTCACTGTTACTAAGGGAACAAAACACATAAATGCATTGACAAAAATTTTCAGGGAAGTTTTGTTTTTCCGTTTTCAAACATGACCTTCCTATGGGGTTTGGAAGTTCATTTGGGGTGTGGCTGCCGTCTCCAGCTGTGAAGGACCTTAAGCTTTCTGGCCATTGTTTCAAGACAAAGATCGATGACCAGCATCCTGGTTTGGGCCATGGAATGTGATCACCATGACCCTCAGCCTCTCCACAGACAATGAAAGGCCCCTCCTTATCCTTACCTGAAAGGCACAGCACATAGTGGCCAGGACTAGGTTTTCAGGC